TCACCAGTGACGATTATCTGTACCGGTCCTGGGCCTCCCCTAGGTCGGCTCAGCCTCAAATGAGTACCTGGTGCGGTGCGTAAACATCGCTACTAAAAAAGACAAAGGCGGCCGGGCGTGGTGTTGGCCAACCACCCCCTCGTGTGCCGTGTCGGCCTTCATAGGTGCTGCTCGCTAACAGCACTTGCCCCAACAGTCTGTTAAGGCTACACGGGGGATCTTTGTCTTCCTGTGTGTCTAAGAGAGAGAGATATTCTGTATGTGTGTGTGTATACGCGGGAGGCTTGCACACGAATAACATCAGGCCCGGGATAAAGGCTATCAATGCAGTATATAATTACAGAATACGTGTCATTGCTCCTGCGTGAATGCGTGCGCAACGCGTCCGTGTCTTTATGTATGAATGCGCACGCGAGTTGTTTACGAATGTATCTCCACTCACGAATGACTCATTGTGCTCCGTGAACACAACGCGATGTTTCCGCGTGCATGGCAGGCACGCTGCGCCACGCGGCTGTGTCGTGGTTGTGGTGGCTCACACAACCGCGTCGTGTTTTCATTTTAACACGACACGCGCGCGCGCGCGCACGCCACTTTAACGCGCTCTGCCCACGCCGTGTTGTGTTCACGGGTAAAAACGCTTACCGTAATTGACACATGAACACACCGTTTCATGAGCCAATACAAACCCCCCCCCACTCCACCTCCCCGAACTAAAATTATCGAGTGAACGTTTCGGGCGGCGACCCTTCACTAGGAGCAGATCATTAACGTGACCGTGTGCACGCGTGTGTGACGCGCGCGCAACGGATGAACGATCGGATCGAGGCGCGATGCTGTAATGACTTTTATTTCCTATGAAACAGATAAATAACCCTGCAAGTGCGATCGACAATAGCCCTAACTAACTGGCATATATATATACCCTACGTCACGAAATCCCTCCCCGTCCCACTACAGATATATACTACACATGGGTTCAATTGACACCGACACAATTATACTGTTCCCAAAAACAGTCGCCTTTTTTTGTTTGCTGTTTGTTGCCTTAATTTAGTCTTCATAAATACACCCAACATACATACACGCGCTCAGTAAAATGTACATCATCCCCTTTTCTGTTGATCCGCTGTGTTTAGGTTTTTTTTCTCTCTCTGCAGCGTTCGATATATTATACAAATACCACGAATGACCGCTTCGGCAGCGTTGCACTCTATGTACAAAGCAGAGTGGCATGGGGAAGGCCTGGGTCACACACACACACACACGCACGCACGCGCGCGCCGTCCGTAACAAAAGGCTGGACAACGAGCGGATACATATCAAATAATAATACAAATGTACACTGCAGGTAAGTTGTACTTCATGGCTCCAGAGAGAGATAGAGAATGAGCGGAGAGAGAGAATGAGAAAGAATGACAGAGAGAGAGAATGAGAGAGAGATGAATCATGGTGATCAATATAACACAAACTCAACACATTTGTCAATAACACTATGCACTAACAGGAACAAATTACGTATAATATTAGGCGACGTTTCGGACAGCAGGCCCTTCTTCAGAGCACACGTTAGTGTGTAAGAAACATCATCGCCCCTGAAACGTGGTCTAATTATATATTTCATTGACATTTCACGGAAGTGGTATTTTTTTTAAATTATATTTTTGGACGGAATATGTCGTGGTTTTGGTTGTCGTTGATATTATTGTTATTAAGTGTGCTCATGATGCACCACTATACAATTGGCAGTATCACACAGAAATAAAATAACGTTATGAGCATTGTAATCATCATCAGCATCACCATGATCAGCAAACCATCATCCTGAAACAATACACATGCCTCCGCCCGTATACCTCCGTGTAGCTGGCTTTAGAAGCTCAAAAGTATAAACAGTGTTCGTCCACACGTTGAGCAGCAGCAGCAACAACAACAATATTATTACAGCAGATGATAACATCAAACAAATGGACTCAACAATAACCGCTGGCCTCGCTGGCGCCCTGGCAATGGTTAAGTGCATGCCCGTCCATTGCGAATGCCGCCACCCACCCACCCAACCACCCACACCCCCCCTCTGCATCGATGTACTCCACCCACAAAGACAAAGGTCCCCCATATAGCCCGCACAGGCTGCTGGAGGCAAGTGCCGTTAGCGAGTGGCAACCTATTGAAGGGCCCGCACGCCACACTGAGTGGGTGGGTGGAACCCGCCAACTGCGCCCCGCCCGGCCGCCTTTGTCTCCCCGAGTGTCGATCTGTACTGCACACACCGCTTGCACTGCACCAGGTACTCATTTGAGGCTGAGTCGACCCTAGGGGGGGGGGGGGTTAGGCCACCAGGTGCAAGACAATCGGCTGAAGCCGTGAACGGGAATTGAAATCTGAGTTGGCCGCCGGGTTCGGAGCGTAGCGTGCTAACTGCAGCGCCACCGCTCCCCACACAACATAAAACCCCCACCCTCGCCAATACCCCAATCTTATAAATAGACACAAATTACAACTCGCATCTCCCAGCTGGGACAAGCTTTAAAAAAAATAAAAAATATGAGGTCACGTGATATATATATATATAGTTTGGTATGTCGGAATAGAAAATAATACCAATAAATTATGTCATGTAATATGTATTATTTTCCTTTAAAAAAAACCCAAGACGTATTTATATAAATATATAACAATCCGTTATGGCGAACGGCGAGACAAAAGTAACATGTGTTTTAAAAACGATGTTTGCATTAAAGCATTAAACTGTAAGACATTCAAATCATGGAGAGAGAGCGAGCGAGCGAGCGAGGTGACGGGTTGAGGAGTCAATCCGGTGATGTGTGTACAAAACGCGACCCTACAAACCTCGACCGTCGAGTGAGTGTGTGTCTATGTATGAGTGTGTGTGTATGTATGTGTATGTATGAGTGTGTGTATGTATGCGTGTGTGTGTCTATGTATGAGTGTGTGTATGTATGTATATGAGTGTGTGTGTATGTATGAATGTGTGTGTATGTATGAGTGTGTGTATGCGTGTGTGTGTATGCGTGTGTGTGTGTATGTATGCGTGTGTGTGTCTATGTATGAGTGAGTGTGTGTGTATGTATGAGTGTGTATGTATGTTTGAGTGTGTGTGTGTATGTGTGAGTGTGTGTGTATGTGTAAGTGTGTGTGTATGTATGAGTGTGTGTGTATGTATGCGTGTATGTATGAGTGTGTGTGTGTATGTATGCGCGTGCGTGTATGTATGAGTGTGTGTGTATGAGTGTGTGTGTGTATGTATGTGTGTGTATGTATGAGTTTGTGTATGTATGAGTGTGTGTGTGAATGTATGTATGCGCGTGCGTGTATACGTGGATTTGCGTGCGTGCGTGAAGTGTACGTTGAGACCGCTGTGTGTACGCGCAAGTGTGTGACGTGCAGGCCTTCATAGGTGCTCGCTAACAGCACTTTCCCCCAAAGAATGCTAAGGCTACACGGGGGATCTTTGTCTGCGTGCGTGTGCGAGCGTGTGTATATATATGTGGATATGTGTGCGTATGGGAAGTGTGCGTGTGCCCGTCTGTAAATGCGTATGGATGAGTGCGTGTGTGTGCGTTCGTGTGTCTTTGTTGAGGGAGCGGTGGTGTAGCGGTTAGCGCGCTGCGCTACGAAACCTGGCCACCCGAGTTCGATTCCCGCTCACGGCCAACACTAGTGACGATTTATCTGAACCGGTCCCGGGCCTCCCCTAGGTCGACTCAGCCTCAAATGAGTACAGTACCTGGTGCGGTGTGTAAACATTTCCACTAGGGGAGACAAAGGCGGTCGGGCGTGGTATTGGCCACCCACCCCCTTGTGTGCCGTGCTGGCCTTCATAGGTGCTCGCTAACAGCACTTGCCCCTAAAGTCTGTTAAGGCTATACGGGGGATCTTTGTCTTGTGTGTCTTTGTACACGCGCATATGTGTACGTATGCATTGTATACAACATATTAATTCGCGTCTATGTGTTTATGTACAGGAGTGTACACTAGTTTGCATGATTAAACGTGTGTATGAGTTCATACACGAATGGATGTGTACACATTTCTGCGTGTGTGTTTGGGAATGTGTCGGAGTATACGATCGGTTTAACTCGTGCCTACGTTTGGTTTTGTGTGCCGTATACGAGTGCCACGTGTGCGCGTGTACTGTGTGTGTTGGCGTACCTGTGTACACGTGTAATTGTGTGTGTGTGTCCGTGTACTTGTGTATTTGTGTTTGTGTGTACTTACGTGTGTACTTGTGTGTGCGTGTGTCCGTGTACGTGTGTGTCCGTGTACTTGTGTGTGTGTACTTGCGTGTGTAATTGTGTGCGTGTGTGTCCGTGTACTTGTGTGTGTATTTGTATTTGTGTGTACTTACGTGTGTACTTGTGTGTGCGTGTGTCCGTGTACTTGTGTGTGTCCGTGTACTTGTGTGTGTGTGTACTTGCGTGTGTAATTGTGTGCGTGTGTGTCCGTGTACTTGTGTGTGTATTTGTATTTGTGTGTACTTACGTGTGTACTTGTGTGTGCGTGTGTCCGTGTACTTGTGTGTGTCCGTGTACTTGTGTGTGTGTACTTGCGTGTGTGTCCGTGTACTTGTGTGTGTGTACTTACGTGTGTACTTGTGTGTGCGTGTGTCCGTGTACGTGTGTGTGTACTTACGTGTGTACTTGTGTGTGCGTGTGTCCGTGTACTTGTGTGTGTATAATTACGTGTGTACTTGTGTGTGCGTGTGTCCGTGTACTTGTGTGTGTCCGTGTACGTGTGTGTGTACTTGTGTGTGCGTGTGTAGTCGTATATATATATATACGTGCGCTCCAGTCCGACCGTACGTCTCATTGTGCCTCATAACGCCCGGTCGAGCACTCCACCCGTGGGAGCCGAGGGCACGCAGTGAGCCTTCCCACTGCTGCTGCTGCTGCCGCCGCTGCTGCTGCTGCTACCATTGCTGTTGCTAGCCACCACCCTCCACCACCTCCACCACCTCCACCACCTGCAGTCATCACCACCGCCGCTCCACCGTTCGCCTGCACAGCCCCGCCGGGACCCGAGGAGCGGATCTGGTGTTGGGCCAGCTTGTGGTCCTTCTTCCACTTCATGCGCCGGTTCTGGAACCAGATCTTGATCTGGCGCTCGCTCAGGCAGAGCGAGTGCGCGATCTCGATCCGCCGTCTCCGAGTGAGGTAGCGGTTGAAGTGGAACTCCTTCTCGAGCTCGAGCACCTGCTGGCGCGTGTAGGCCGTGCGGGAGCGCTTCGACTCCCCGCCGATGTAGTTGGGGTTGACTGCGGGCGGGCGTCGTGACGTTTGGTGTTGGCGGTGGTGGTGGTGGTGATGGAGAGACGTGGAGGGAGAAGGGAAAACATGGGGGGGAGAGGGAGGGAAGAGGGGGGGGGGGGAGAGCGGAAGTGGACAAGAGGTTTGGGTGGAAGATGAGGCGATGATAGGGAGGAGGAGGAGGAGTGTGGAATTCGGAGGGGACAGCGTTAGAAGGCGAAACTTCACGAGCGCACAAAGCCAATCACCGGCTCGACATTCGACAGATTTACGAGCGACGTCGCGCCTAAGCGGCGGCCAGAGGTCGTGCCGAATCGTGAAATATCTCTTCTCAGTCTCTCTCTTCTCAGTCTCTCTCTCTCTGATTTCTCTCTCGTTCAACTCTGTCGATTAAAAAAAGCCCCAAATAATCTACGAAGCGTGTTGCTCTCTCTCTCTCTCTCTCCCTGTGAAGAAGTACCTCCTCCCCCCTGTGCCCGCGTGTCTCGCACGCCACGGCGTCTCTGGGTCTCGACGCGACGGGTTTGGCACGCGTGCGGTGTTGCACGGCTCACATCGTCAAGGCGCGTTGATGCTCACGGAGCGACCGCGCGCGAGTCGAGTGAAGAGCCCCGATCACTCGACTCGCGCTCCGCGGTGCTGGCGCTCGCAGTCGCGACCGATGGATGGTCATGTCGGTGGCTGCTCGTGGTGGTGCTGGTGGTCATGGTGGTTATAGTGGCTGGTGGTCGTGGTGATGGTGGTTGTCATGGTGGTTATAGTGGCTGGTGGTCGTGGTGATGGTGGTTATAGTGGATGGCGGTGGTGGTTATTGGTGGCGGTGGCGATGGTGGCATTTAGTGGTTGACGTGATGGTGGTTGTATTGTCTGATGGTGGTGGTGGTGATGGTGGTTATATGGTCTCGAGGTGGTGGCGGCTAGCGATGGTGTTGCTACTGCTGCTCGTTCATTCCACAGCGGCGGCCGTATCGGTAGTCGACCGTGGTCGGGGTCGTGGTGACACTGCAGGTGCTGATTGCGTTGCTGCTGCTACCTTCAGTGAGCACGCTCGCCGTTCGCAAATTTCCACGCGCGCCAAATCATCACAAGATCGACTAATACGAAACAAACGTACACGCTACCGTGCCATAACACGCTATTTTAATTTACGGCGCCCGTTTCGGTAAAATCATATAGACGAGCAAGGTGGAATTTAAGTTTTGCACGTTAGGGCTAGTGGGTTTAAACTTAGACCCCCACCCCCTCGGAGCGAGCATTTTTTGGAATAAAAACACCTCTGTCATTTTTGTGTTTCACCCCGTCAGAACTGATGGCGGTGCCTGAGATTTACCGTCGCACGGAATTTCACATCAACCATCACCACATAACTCTGGCCGTGCTCAACCAACCGGCACTCCACCCTCCACGGCACTCACCCTTCCACGCACTCACCTTCCACGGCACTCACCCTTCCAAGGCACTCAACCTTCCACGGCACTCACCCTTCGGCACTCACCCTTCACGGCACTCACCTTCCACGCACTCACCCTTCCACGACACTCACACTTCCACGGCACTCACCCTTTACCCCGACACTCCCTTACCACGGCAACTCACCCTTCCACGGCACTCACCCTTCCACGGCACTTCCCCTTCCACGGCACT